GTGTGTGTGTGTGTGTGTGTGTGTGTGTGTGTGTATAAATACAACTTCTACAACTTGATAATTTGATATATGTATTAATTGTGAAATAATCACCAGTCTGTTACCTGTCATAGTTACCTTTTGTGTGTGTGTTGAGAATGCTTGGGATGTACCTTCCTAGCAAATTTTAGGTATATACTAACAGTAGTATTACCTATAGTCACCATGCTATACGTTAGATCACCAGAACTTACTCATCTTGTATAACTGACATTTTGTATCTTTTGACCAAATTCTCTCCATTTCCCTCTCCTCCAGCCTCTGGTAATCACCATTCTAACCTCTCTCCTCCTTTGAGTTTGACTGTTTTAGATTCTGCACATAAGGGAGATAAGCATTTGTCTTACTATATTTAGTTTCTTTCACTTACCAAAATGTCCTGTAGGTCCATCCACATTATTGCAAATGAGAGAATTCTCTTTTTTAAGGCTGACTAAGATTCCATTGTATTTGTATACCAATTTTTCTTTATCTCTTTATTTGTTGATAGACTTTAAGGTTGTTCCCACAGCTTGGCTATGAGATCCCTGTGTTTTAAGAGCTCTCTCTTAAACTACCTTAATGTTACTCCTCTGTGAGATGTCCAATAGTGTTAACAGCATACATTAACAGTTTCTTACAGTAGTTAACTTGACTTAGTCATTAGGCCATTACTCCTGTCATAGTACTCTGGAGAAATGAGAATTTATTCTAGTGGAATAGTTGAAGCTCTTATTTATTTTATTTAATTAAAAAAATTTTTTAATGTTAATTTTTGAGAGAGGGAGAGAGAGAGAGACTGAGTATGAGCGGGAGAGGTGCAGAGAGAGGGAGACACAGAATCTGAGCAGGCTCCAGGCTCTGAGCTGTCAGTTTGGGGCCTGACGTGGGGCTCAAACCCATGAGCTGTGAGATATGACCTGAGCTAAAGTTGGACACTTAACCAACTGAACCACTCAGGTGCCCCTATTTAATTTTTTAAAAATGTTTATTTATTTTGAGAGAGAGCGTGCATGTGTGTGCAAGCAGGGGTGGGACAGAGAGAGAGGGAGACAGAATCCCAAGTGGAATTGTTAGCTGTTAGTGCAGAGCCTGACACAAGGCTCAAACTCATGAACCTGTGAGATCATGACCTGAACCGAAATCAAGAGTCAGACACTTAACCGACTGAACCACCCAGGTGCCCCAGATTGAAGCTCTTGTTATAAGTGTTCTTTATCCTTTCATTTTTAATTGTACTTTTTTTTTTCTTTTTTTAAGTAAGCCATACACCTAATATGGGGCTTGAACTCATGGCCTCAAGATCAAGAGTCATATGCTCTACTGACTAATCCAGCCAGGACTCTGTATTCTTAAATTTACTAAGCCATTAAACTATAGTGATTATTATCTTTATCGTATAAATAAGAGAATGAAAAATAAAAAGTAAAAAAAATCCAAGTATAGACTAATCTTACTTATATAGATGCAAAAGTCTAGATGAAATATAAACAAGTGGAATACAAAAGGTTATATGCCATGACTATGCAGGATTTCAGGAATATACGAAAGGTTTGATATCAGGAAACCTCTTAACATAATTTATTATATTAACAGTTTGAAGTGGAAAAAAACATGGATGCTGAAAAGGCATATTCTTCATAAAAAAAAGCTCTTAACTAGTAGTGGAAATTAATAATAAAGGCTGTTTACTAAAAAAAATAAACATCATTTAAATCGTGAATTACTCAAACCATATGTGTTAGAATTAAGAATACGACAGAGAAGTTCACCAGTGAAGTTGTACATCGTTTTGGGAGATTTAAAAAATAAAATAAGGGGCGCCTGGGTGGCGCAGTCGGTTGGGCGTCCGACTTCAGCCAGGTCACGATCTCGCGGTCCGTGAGTTCGAGCCCCGCGTCAGGCTCTGGGCTGATGGCTCAGAGCCTGGAGCCTGTTTCCGATTCTGTGTCTCCCTCTCTCTCTGCCCCTCCCCCGTTCATGCTCTGTCTCTCTCTGTCCCAAAAATAAATAAAAACGTTGAAAAAAAAAAATTAAAAAAAAAAATAAAAAATAAAATAAGAAAATGAAATGAAATAATGTATATGTTGGAAAAACAGTAAAATTTATTAATGATATGATTGTATACCTGCAAAACTTTAGTTAAAAAACTATTGGGATTAGGGGCGCCTGGGTGGCTCAGTCGGTTAAGCATCCGACTTCAACTCAGGTCATGATCTTGTGGTTTGTGGGTTTGAGCCCCACGTTGGGCACTGTGCTGACAGCTCAGAGCCAGGAGCCTGCTTCTGATTGTGTGTCTTTCTGTCTCTCTGCTCCTCCCTCACTCACACTGTGTGTGTGTGTGTCTCTCTCTCAAAAATAAACGTTTAAAAAATTTTTTTTAAATTATTGGGATTAATAAGGGAATTTGTAAGATGACTAAATATGCAATAATTGGTTTTCTCTGTCATAAAAATAACCTGGTAGAGTGGAAACAAAAATATTACCTTTGTGACCATGTCACAAATTATAGAATACTAAAGAATAAATTTAATAACAAGGGTACAGGAAGCAAATTATATTATTGATAGGTAAAAGTGAAATCCGAACAAATTCATTTATTCAGCAAACATTTGTTAAATGCTTCCTATGGGCCAGATACTATTCTAGGTGCTGGAAACATCTAACAAGATTATGTAGGGTCCTGCTATCAGGAAGCTCACATATTTGTGGAAGAATCAGCCAGTAAATATATAAGTAACACAATATCTGGTAGAGTTTAGTGCTGTTGATATGAGAGTGACATTACACTAGATGGTTAGGGAAAGTGATATTTAAACTCAGAGCATGAGTAACCAGCCACTTGAAAGTCTGAGGGAATAGCATCCAACAAATAGCTAGTACAAAGCTTCTAAGGTACAAATGAGCTTGTGAGGAACAGAAAGGAAGGCAGGAGTGGCTGGAATGAAGCAAGTGAAAGTTCTTGTGGTAAGGAATTTGGATTTTCATTGTGGCGAGAAAGCACGGGAAGAGTTTTAAAAGTGGTGTATGACTTAATGTGATTTATGCTTTGAAAAGATCTTTCTGGGGTAAAGATTATAAATAGGGAGCCCAGTAAGCAGGCTGCTGTAATATATCAGCCAGAGGTGATAATGGTCTTTGCAGGGTTAGAATGGATATGAAGCATAGCAGACTCATTTGGGATGGTTTTGGAGGTAGGACTTGTAGAGGTATTGGATATGAGAGTGGAGGGGAAGTGAGTAATTGATGACAACTCCAAAAATTTTGGAAAATGTAAAGATACAAAGATGTCAGATAGGGAAATGGTACCCTTAAAATGTAATATTGCCTTAATTTAATTTTCAAATGTACAGTAGTTCTGATTACCAAGAGTTTTTTTAAAAGTTGATAAAATGATCTTAAAGTTAATATGGAAGAATGAGAATAGCCAAAAGAATTCAAAAAGAGAAGACTAGTGAACGGGACCTACTTTACCACTATAAAACTGCTTTAGTCAAGTATATGCCATTGCCGTAGGGATAGACAAATAGATCTGTGGAACACAATAGAAGGCCCAGAAGTAGATCCTACTGTAAATGAAATTTTAATGTAATGAAAAAATAAAAGATTTCAGTGATAAAACAATGGTTTATTTGTTAAATGGTGGTGTCACACTGTATATTTCTTAAACAAAATAATGTTGGATCCTTAGGACACTAAATGCAAAAATAAATTCTACTTAAATGAAAAATCAAAATTTTAGAAGAACACTTAAGAGTATGTATATGTTGTCTGTAGTTTGGAGTAACCTTTTTGCCATGATAGGAAACCTTGAAGCTATATTACATAAGCATATTTATATGTGCATTAATATATTTTATATGATAAAAAGTACCCTAAATAATGTCAGAATAAAAACAGATTGGGAAAAATAACATTGTTGAAGTGCATATATCAGGTATAAAGGGTCATTAACTATAATGTAAAATGAATCTATACAAATTGATAGGCAGTGCATGCAAATAGAAAAATTGGCAAAAGATTCAATAGGCAGTTCAGAAAAGAGCAAATCTTTTTTTTTTTTTTTTTTTTAATTATTTATTTTTGGGACAGAGAGAGACAGAGCATGACGGGAGGAGAGAGGGGAGACACAGAATGGAAATAGTGCCAGGCTCTGAGCCATAGCTAGAGCCCGGCCTGCTGAACTCACTTAATGACCATGACTCGTGACTGGCTGAAGTCGGATCTTTTATCCCATCACAGCCACCCAGGCGCCCCAGAAAAGAGCAAATCTAAATGGTTACTAAACTTACGAAAATTGTATAATCTCTTAGCATTGAGGAAATGCAAATTGAAATAATTCTTAGATAATTACATCTTATACATCCTATTGGCATTTTTAAAAAGTGGTAATACTTAGTGTTGGAACATGTATGTGTACACTCATGTTACTGGTGAAAAGAAGAATTTTTGTAGTGATTTTGGAAAACAATCTTATTTATTAGAATTCATATATATCACACATTTTTAAATCCAGTACACACAGTGCTGGGAATATAGCTCGTATAAATAAGCACTAGTAATTAGGAAATATATATAAGGATAAAATATATTACAGCATTGCTTAAAATGGCAGTAATTGGGAACAGAATATAAATATCTTTGCTGGGGAATCTGTTGAGTAGCCATCCAGATTGTAGACTATAATTTAAGCATTTAAAAGAATGTATTAGATGGGGTACCTGGGTGACTCAGGCGGTTAAGTGTCCAACCCTTGATTTTGGCTCAGGTCATGATCTCACGGTTTGTGAGTTTGAGCCCCATATCAGGCACTGCATGTCAGCGTTCTCTCTCTCTCTCTCTCTCTGTGTCTCTGTGTCTCTGTCTCTCTCTCAAAATAAATAAATAAACTTTAAAAAAATGTATTAGATCTGTACTAATTGACTTAGAGGAACTTTGTACATTATTAAGGGAGAAGAATATATACAGAATATACAGAGACATGTCTATAATACACAATTTTGGTAAGAGTGACATAAAACATAAAATATTTCCTGCATTTATATAGAAAATAGGAATATATTTGCATATGATTACTAGAGTATAGATAGAGAAAAAGGCATGAAAGAGTATATAGAATATTGTTAACATTGAGGCAGAAGTAGAAGCAAGATAAAATAATATTTTAAAAATGTGTATACAGTAAAAGCACTATGTATGATATTCCATTAAACTAAAATATATATGTGACTTTATATACAATAAAGAAATGAATGGAAAGATCAGTATGTTAATTTTATCTCAGGGTAGTGTGATTTCAGGTCATTCCTTATAATTTTTATTGTTTAAACGTTTTACAGTGATTATAGCAGGAAAAAACCAGCTGCTCCTATTGTGAGGGGAACAAAGAAAATTAAAGCTAAATGGCAGTACTTTTTCCCCCTTCGTTTTGCAGTTATGCTATATTGACTCCCAAACTGATGGCGGAATCCCTTCTTACTGTTTTGCTTTAATGGTGATGTTTTTTCTACAACAAAGAAAACCCCCTCTTCTTCCTTGCTTACTTGGAAGTTGGGTAAGCATGAATTTGTGACATATATTTGCATGTATATACGTAGTTTGCTCTTGCAGAGTGCTCTGTTCAAACATATTAAGCTGGAATTCTGGTTTGTCTGTTTGTCCATCTTTTTTTTTTTTTTTTTTTTTTTTTTTTTTTTTTTTTTTTGTAAATAATTTTTCCACTACCAATTTGGAATGCCTTTTTATATAGATTGAAGGCTTTGACCCAAAAAGAATGGATGACTTTCAGCTGAAGGGCATAGTAGAAGAGAAGTTTGTGAAGTGGGAATATAATTCAAGTAGTGCAACTGAGAAAAACTCAATTGCTGAGGAAAACAAAGCTAAGGCAGACCAACCAAAAGATGATACCAAGAAGACAGAAACAGACAACCAAAGTAATGCCATGAAGGAAAAACATGGCAAAGTAAGCTTTTTTTTGTTTTTGTTTTTGGCTTTTCTATCTGTAGGATATGTGATGCCTTCGATTGAAGCTATTTTAATAGTAGATTGACTGGACTGACTTTGCGTAAGCCTCTTGGCCTCATTTTCCTCATCTGTAAAGTGAGGGGTTGATCTGGTTTAGTTTTTCAGTACTGAGATTCTCTAATGAATTTATACCTCATTTTGGAAGACGTGTATTGTTTGAATCATGTCATGGTAATTCTTTGTATCTTTTTCATTTAGACAAGGAAAATTTCCTTCAGGAGTTGGGCGGTGACCAAAACTTTAGCATGTGGGAATAATATTGCCAGATTGGTGGAAAAATAAAGGCCCTTTCCTCCCCTAGGGGATGGCTTGCTTATTTAATCATTCAACATTCATTTATTAAGGACCTGCTATGTGCCAGACATTATCTTGAGGGCCTGAGAACGAAAGATGAATAGCCATTGTGTCTTCCAGAAGTATGTAGTCTTCTGAAATAGACATATTACTACAGAAATGTAAGCATTACTGAAATGATTACTCTAGCTATATTGAATTTTATGTAGTTCCCTGAACATTTATTCTTAGTCCCTTCAACACTCCTACTTTCCTAGACTTCTTTCTACTCTCTTCTCAAACCACCAATACTTAGCTAATGCTTTTGCTTATTTACTGAGAAAACTGAAGCAGTCAAAAGAACTTCTACATACTGCCACTATCGCCTGCTACTATCTACATTCACATAATCTGCTTTGATGCCTCCTTTCATAAAGGAACTTCCCTAGTTGCTATCTAAAGTCATTTTCTACACTTGTGTATTTAATCCCATCCCTTCTTGTTTATACTAGAACTTTGCTCTAGCAATTCTTCTCTTTCCTGCCTAAGTTAGCAATTTTTCATTCTTTATTGAATCAAACACCCTTTTATTTCTCCCATTTAATTTAATTTATTATTATTATTATTTTTTTTTTTTTGATAGAACACGTGGTGAGAGGAAGAGAGAGAATCTTAAGCAGACTCTACGCCCAGCGTTGGGGGGGGTGGGTGAGGGGCAAGGTTTTGATCCACAAACCCTGAGATCACGAAAGAACTGAAATCAAGACTCAGTTGTTTGACTGAGCCACACAGGTGCCTCCTTCCCCCCCCCCCCCCCCACCATTTTAAAGCAAAATAAGGACATCATTTTCCTTCCCAGTTAACTCCTTTGCACCCGTTTGCAGTACAGCTTCTTGAAAGAATTGTCCACATTCACTATTTCTGATTTCTGTTTCCTATTAACTCACTGCATTCAGTCTTCCACCCTTGTCAGTCTACCAAAACTTGTATCATCAAATGTCGTTATCCTCCACATTGCTAAATCCAGTTGTCACTTCTCAGTTTTTATCTCTTTGGACTTATCAGCCATATTTACCAGTTGATTATTTTCTTCTCTGAAAAAAAGAATTTTTTTTTAATTTTTTTTTTTTTTTTTTAGTTTTATCTAATTTTAGGTGATGAAGAGAGAGCATGAGTGACGCAGTGAGAGGGAGATATAGATCCTAGTAAGAGGTTTCTGTAATTCCTGAGCTTAGCACAGAGCCTGATGTGGGGCTCAAACCCACAGACCGAGAGATCATGATCTGAGCTGAAGTCAGACGCTTAACCGACTGAGCCACCCAGGTGCCCCTTCTGAAAAATGTCTTAACTTTCAGGGTAGCACACCCATGGCAGATTATTCCTTCTTAGTCTCCTTTGCTGTCTTTGTCTTCTCCCTTTCTCTCTGGTCTCCTAATGGTGGCATGCTCCAGGGCTCAGTCCTCGATCCTCCCTTCTCACTGCTTTTCTTCTCTATCTGCACTCTGTTGGTGATCTCATTCAGTTGCATGCATTTTACATACCATCTGTATGATACTCCCAAATTTAAATCTTTGGCCAAATCTCTCTCCTGAACTCTATAGTTGTATCTCCAATTGCCTATATACTTTCTCTACTTAGATGTCTAAGAGATGTCTTTTTTTTTTATTTTACTTTTTTAATGTTTGTTTATTTATTTATTTATTTATTTATTTATTTATTTATTTAGAACCTGCATGCACGTGCATGAGCAGGAGAGGGGCAGAGAGAGTGGGAGAGAGGGAATCACAAGCAGGCACCACACTGCCAGCAGAGCCCCAACATGGGGCTGGATCTCATGAAGTGTGAGATAATGACCTGAGCCAAAATCAAGAGTCGGACCCTTAACCAACTGAGCTACCCAGGCTCCCTCCTAACAGATGTCTTAAACTTAACATGCCTGAAACTGGACTCCTGGTCTTCCTCTTGCTCCACATACAGTTTTTGCATCTCAGTTGATGGCACTGCATCCTTTCAGTTAGTCAGAAGCCTTGGAATCATCCTTTACTTCTCTCTTTTATACCCCATATCAAGTCTGTCAGGAAATCCTGTCATTTCTGATTCAAAATATTTTCAGAATTTGACCACTTCTTGGCAGAATGGTTCTTCAAAAACTTAAGTCTTATCATGTCCTTCCTCCTCTCCACACTCAGAACCCTTCAGTCACTCCTCATTTAATTTAGAATAAAAGCTGACTCTTTAACTTAGTAGCTCTTTGTTTTCCTCTTCTCTTCTTCCCTTCTTTACCACATTAGCTTTCATGGTTTTCTTTTTAAAGCTAGTCACTTCTATTTAGTGTGTTTGGTCTGTCTGTTCCCTATTCCTAGAACACTTTTCCCTCTTCTTCAAATGATACCTTCTGAGCAGACTATCCTGACCACTCTGTTTCACTGAAACCATGTCCTGCTCCATACTCCCATCCCCTTTTTACTAAACCTACTCGACTTTTTCTTACTTCCACAGCACTTTTCCTTTTTGTAACTTGCTATGTAATGTACTTATTAAGTTGTTTGTTATCTTCTTTCCTTAGAAAGTAAGATATACTAAGGCAAGGTTGTTGTTTTTTTTTTCACGGATATATCCCAAGTGCCTGGCACATAGTAGGTACTCAATGAATAGTTGTAGAATTGAATGAGTGAATGACTGTTTCATGTCTTTATGCTCCTTAGTGGTCACTTTTAGCCAGTCTTCATCTAGCTAATTCCTTTAGAATTCAGGTATTACCTCTTTTGTTAACTAACCCCCCCCCCCCCCCCCCGATTTAGAGGCCCATTTTAGCACAGAGTCTTTACTGTAATTGTTAAATTGTCTCTTCCTCTTCTAATAATCTGTGAAGGGAGAACCTCACCTTATTTGAGTGGCAGTATGGTAGGTATAGTGATTAGCAACAAATTCAGTAGCCAGGTGGTCCTGAGTCAAATCATACCTTGCCCTGTAGTATCTACTTCATAGAATTGTTAGAATTAATAGCTACTATATTTGCAGCATTTAAAGGAGTGAATGATGCATGGTGACCATTATGTTTAAGCGTGAGCTCTCATTATTTTTTTATGTCCTCAGCACAGGACATAGTAGGTTCTAAATAAAGTTTGCTGAATGAAGGAATTAGCTTTTGAAAGCCCAGGGCATTTACTTAGATATTTAAAGTAATTGCTGCAATAAGGACCTATAATAGTTTAGTATTTGCTGTGCAGTGATTTGCAACCTTGGATGCACATGAATCACTTAGGAGGCTTTAAAAATCCCAGGGCCTAGTATGTAGCCAAGGTCAGTTAAATCAGAATCTTGGGAAGGGTATGGGAGGTAGGAATGGTATGAAGCTCAGGTATTTAGTATACTGTAATGGTCCCAGTGTGATTCTGATTTGCAGCCAAGGTTGAGAATCACTGGTTTATTGGGAAGAACATAAAATTCTAGCAGTCGGTAAACTAGGACTATGTTCCCAGCTCGGCCACAAACTGCTTTTTGGCAAGTTACTTCTTTATGCTTCAGTTTTTGTAAAGTTAATCTCTTAGGTCTTTTCACACTGAAAATTCAATCATTCTATAGTTTTGTGAAGCTTAAATGAAAAGTATTTTTTCTTTTCTAGTCTCCTTTAACATTGGGAACACCAAATCAGGTATCCCTGGGACAATTATGGTTAGAGCTGCTAAAATTTTACACACTGGATTTTGCTTTGGAAGAATATGTCATATGTGTACGGATACAAGATATTTTAACAAGAGAAAACAAAAACTGGCCTAAAAGGCGAATAGCCATTGAAGGTGAGATGATACGTTATATTTCATTTAGAGAATATGTTTTTGTGTGCTATTCATCATCTGTTTCTAATACAGTGCTATAAATTACATCCCTTGGCTTTATAGCACTATATATACCACTAGGTTGTCATTATATATTTTAGATAAATTCTTTATCAAGTCCATGATAGTTTTATAGGATTAATACTTACTTTAAGGTTTCCAATCTATAAATACTATATTGGTTAGGATTATTAGCTTATTACATACCTTTATGTTTATTTTTTAGTTATGAAAAACTTCAAAAATATAGACACATAGAATAGTTATTCAGAACAATCTTATTCCTATAAGGTTCTGTCATAAAATTATGTTAAAGTATAACTTTAAAATACAGGTTTTCATTGTCCTCCAACCTCATCTCTATGGAATGTGTAAGTCATTGGAGTATATATACAGAATACAGCCAGTGGTGTTGTAATAGCATTGTAGGGTGACAGATGGTAGCTATACTTCTGGTGAGCATAGCATTAACTACAGAATTGTTGAATCACTATGTTGTACACCTAAACTATAATGTAACATTGTATGTCAGTTATACTTCAAAACATAAAAAAAAGCACCTCAGCTTAAATATGGTTAAAGATTAAAAAAAAAAAGATTGATTTGAAGAAAAAAAAATTGATGTTGACAAAAAGTTTCATATTAAATCCCAAGAATATTAAGATCTTTAGGGATGCAAATTGATAGAGTGGTTTTTAGAAAATTTAAATCATGCAGCATTTCACTCACTTTTATAGATAGGAAATTGAATTTCTGTCCATCATTTTAGTTTGCTTAGACTACATATTTTTCTGTTCCCTCAGTCCTCTTTTGGCCTTCTCTGACCCATAAATATTTTTTTAAAAATTTTAATGTTTTTTCTATTTTTGAGAGAGAGAGAGGCAGATCATGTGTGGGGAAGGGGCAGAAAGAGATAGACACAGAATCCGAAGCAGGCTCCAGGCTCTCAGCTGTCAGCACAGAGCCCGACATGGGACTCAAACACATGAACTGCAGGATCATGACCTGAGCCAAAGTTGGAAGCTTAACCGATTGAGCCACCCAGGCACCCCAACCCACAAATAATTTTTTAAAAATGTATTAAAAAATGTTAATGATATTAATATATTATTTGTTTTTGAGAAAGAGAGAGCAAGCACGGGAGGGGAAGAGTGAGGAGAGAGAGAATCCCAAGCAGGCTCTACTCTGTAAGTGCAGAGCCTGACGCGGGGCTTGATCTCATGAACCAGGAGATCATGACCTGAGCCAAAATCAAGAGTCAGATGCTTTAACCAACTGAGCCACCCAGGCACCCCTAAACCCACAAATATTCTTATACACTCAGTTACTCACATCTTGTACACTTACATACAGTAAATCAATGAGCTCTGAAGCCTATAACTATCATAATTTGTTTTCTCTTGTCTTTTTCTTCTTCTACAAGGAGCAAAAAGGCCAGGAAAGGCCTTTGAGTGTAGAGAACAGCCTGTGGATTTAGATAACAGCAAAAAGTCACAGATGCCCAAACCTGTTAACAATCTGAAGCCTGTCCTGTTAATCCTTTTACTTAATGATCTTCAGTAGTGGAGAAAATGTGCATTGTCTTTTGGCTGTCATCCATTTATTCTTTTTTCCTGGGGCATATTTGTATTTTAGGTTTATAAAATCCAAAAACCGATAAACATTTAGAAGTCTTTTATATTTTCTTAATAATGAAAATGTGGTTGATATATACTCATTTTAGACTGGATTAAAATTTAACTTTTGGGGGGCGCCTGGGTACCTCAGTCAGTTGAGTGGCTGACTTCGGCTCAGGTCATGATCTCACGGTCCGTGGGTTCGAGCCCTGCGTCGGGCTCTCTGCTGACAGCTCAGAGCCTGGAGCCTGTTTCAGATTCTGTGTCTCCCTCTCTCTGACCCTCCCCCGTTCATGCTCTGTCTCTCTCTGTCTCAAAAATAAAAATAAACGTTAAAAAAAAAAAAAGAAGACCTTAGAGTTTAAAAAAAAAAAATTTAACTTTTGGTTTAATTTTTACTTTCTTTGGTCTCTTTCTTCCTACTTTTCAATTTTTCCTTTCTTTAATTTTTTGAACTCATTGAAGTTAAATGTTAAAATCAGTATTTCCTTTTTGTTTTTTTTAGAGAGAGTGAGCGGCCATGAGCAGGGGAAGGGCAGAGCAAGAGAGAGAATCTTAAGCAGGCTCCATGCCCAGACTCTACGGGGCTCAATCTCACAGAGATCAGGACCTGAGCTGAAATCTAAGAGTTGGAGGCTTAACTGACTGAGCCACTCAGGCTCCCCAAAATCCGTACTTTTTAACTTGAAGCTTTAAGAATTTTAGGTTATCATTTATTTAAGTTGCAAGGAGCATGTCGCTAAAGAATGTTATGATAAGAGATGAAAATTATTAATGGGTCCTAGAGGTTTGGAAAATTTTATTCAGTAACAGTTCAGGAAGGTATAAATGGCATGGCTTTTTCTGCCAGTTTTATCATTGTAATTTTGTAATTACCATGGTGTCTGCAACAGTATGCAATTCTTAATCTCGGGGTTGTGAGTTTGAGCCCCATGTTGGTTGTAGTGAGTACTTAAATAAATTAAAAAAAAAATTGTGTAATTATTGAGTTGGTCTCTTTGGCTATTCTCTCATTAATTAACCTTATTCTTTTCTCTCTTTTCCTTTTAACTTTTTATTTTATGACAGAAGAAAGGAAAAGATGTTGCTCTTATATTTTTCCTACTCAGTTTGTAGGAACTCTCACTTTAACCTTAGGTTAAAAAAGCTTTGGGACAATGTACTGTGCTGAGAATATAGCAGTTTCAATCTGTTTGGGTAAGCTTGGAATTGTAGTTCGTTGATGGACACTTAGTTACTGACCATTTCTTTTTTTACTAGATCCATTTTCAGTTAAGAGGAATGTTGCACGGAGCTTAAACAGCCAGCTTGTTTATGAATACGTTGTGGAGAGATTCAGGGCAGCTTATCGGTATTTTGCCTGTCCTCAGAGGAAGGGTGGAAATAAATCTACAGTGGATTCCATGAAAAAAGAGAAGGGAAAAATAAGCAATAAGAAACCAGTGAAGTCTGACAATATGGCATCCAGTTGTTGCATTCTACATGGAGAAAGCACAGAAAAAATAAATGCAGAAAGAGGTCAACCTGATAAATATGATGAAATGGAATATACATCACAGAGATGTATTACTGAAGATGACAGTTTGTTGGTAAATGAGCTAGATTTGGCTGAACTTGGACAGGAATCTTCATCTCTTTCTACCAGTGGAGGCAGTGAATTAGAGCCAAAATCAATTAAGAAACAAGATGATTTAGCACCGTCAGAAACTTGTCTAAAAAAGGAACTCAGCCAGTGTAATTGCATTGGTTATAAATCCCCTGACCCAGATGAATCTTCTGGTACAGACTGCCAGTCAAATATAGAAACAGAGAGTTCACGTCAGATTGTGAGCACTGACACATCTGCTACCTCCTGCAACTGCAAAGCTACAGAAGATGCTTCTGACTTTAATGATGATGATAACCACCCCACCCAGGAATTATATTATGTGTTTGATAAGTTTATTTTAACCTCTGGCAAGGTAGGATACCGTTTGTAAACAGTCTGTAAGATTTTGTGGTTGTTGTAGGACTGTATTTATAGTTTTTAGATTCAGAAATGTAAAAATAGCTTCTATGATGGTAGACTGTTACTTTCTATTGATATTTTGGTGTATATTTTCACTTTTCCTTTATTTTTTTCTGTAGTTGTCTTTAAAGAATGTATGTAGGGGCGCCTGGGTGGCGCAGTCGGTTAAGCGTCCGACTTCAGCCAGGTCACGATCTCGCAGTCCGTGAGTTCGAGCCCCGCGTCGGGCTCTGGGCTGATGGCTCAGAGCCTGGAGCCTGTTTCCGATTCTGTGTCTCCCTCTCTCTCTGCCCCTCCCCCGTTCATGCTCTGTCTCTCTCTGTCCCAAAAATAAATAAACGTTGAAAAAAAAAAAAAAATTTAAAGAATGTATGTAAAACCTCAAAACGTTTCAGTACTCTATTACTAGTTGGTTTGCTTAACTTTCTCATATATGAAAGGATTCATCAGGCATTTTATAAAGATCAGTTTGGCAAAAGCAGCAAATATTTTAAATTTTGTTAATTTTCTATGTATATGTTTACTTATCTTCCACAAAGAAGATTATAAGGTTTGTAAATTCTAATAGTATTCCACTTTAAAGGTGGTTTTTTACCCCTATGGGGTGGGTGAATGTAAATTTTTAAATTTTTTTAAATTTTTATTTATTTTGAGAAAGATACAGAGAGCAAGCGGGGGAGGGGCAGATAAAGATGGAGACAATTTCAAGCAGACTCCACGATGTCAGCACAGGGCCTGAATTCACGTGGCCTGAATTCACGAACCATGAGATCGTGACCTAAGCCGAGACCCAGAGTCAGACGCATAACCAACTGAGCCACATAGAATATAAATTTAATGAAGATAGTTGAGCAGAAACTAAGATCAGGAACCAAAAGCGTGAAGAATTCAGATTCTGTCTCTGCCTTTGAGCTTTCCTTTGGATATTGGCATATCCTTTATAAACTAATGGAGTCTTAACTTTTCTACTGTTCAAGTGGGATAGTCTGAACTTCAACTTGATAAATTATAGAAAATAAAATACCCAATAACAGAAAATAAGCAGTGACTACTTTGTTAATAAAAGAAAGGTTTAGCTAAGTCACATTGCTTCAATTGCAGGGTACATAATTGAAATATCAGCACCCAAGATGAAAAAATGATTATATAGGTCATGTGTAAACCAAGAAGAATGTTTTTGAAAAAATCTAGAAAGTTACCCAGTTTTATTATTTTATAAATAATTATTTATTGACAAGCTTAAAATTTTTTAACCTAATTACTAAGCTGTGCTTCTTTATTCTTTGTAAGAATACATATATTGCAGTTTTTTTTTTTAGGTTGTGGTGTTTAGGACATATGGACTGTAGAAAGGATAGATTAAATGGTAGGTTTTTAGAAAACCTTCTAAATTATATAACTGCAGTGTATGCTTTTTTTTTTGTAAATTTTTAAACCGTTTTTTTTTTTTTTTGAGAGAGAGGGAGAGAGAGAGAGACCGACCGACAGAGAGAAAGACCGAACATGAATGAGGGAGGGGCAGAGACAGAGGATGACATAAAATCAGAAGCAGGCTCTAGACTCTGAGCTGTCAGCACAGAGCCCAACGCGGGGTTTGAACTCGTGAACCTTGAGATAATGACCTAAGCTGAAATCAGATGCTTAACTGACTGAGCCACCCAGGCGCCCCATATACTTCTTATACCCCTTGGAAACTTATCTTTTTTCTTTAATGTTTATTTATTTTAACATTTTATTTCATTTTTGAGAAAGACAGTGTGAGCAGGGGAGGGGCAGAGAGAGAGGGCGACACATAATTGGAAACAGGATCTATCTAGGCTCTGAGCTGTCAGCACAGAGTCCTATGCGGGGCTTGAACTCACGAGCAGTGAGATCATTACCTGAGCCAAAGTCATATGCTTAACCGACTGAGCCACCCAGTTATTTTAAGATAACTATTTATCCAATTAAATTTTTTTTCTAGATATATGTAACATTTTTCTAGTATTTTCTGATAAATCTTTTAAAAAGAAGTTTTGAAAGCTAAGAAAAATTCCCGTGGTACTGTTAATTAGCCTATAGCACAGCATTGCCACAAGTAGAGGTTTTTGTATGTAATTTGCATCAGAGGTCATGGCTAGGTAAATATCTAAGCTAATCCTGGAGGAGGAAGCTCTTTGAAATCTAGGCATATTACAATAAAGAAAGGAGTGGTGCTCTTCCTTCACTATGTGTTTTGTTCAAGTAGTTGGGATACATTTTTACTGTTTTAACTACCTGTCTGATAGTCCATTGGAATACATCTTATTTAATTTAATTTTTTTATTATTAAAAAAATTTTTTTAAGTTTATTTTGAGAGAGATTGAGACAGTGAGTGGGGGAGGGGCAGAGAGAGAGGAAGAGAGAGAATCCCAAGCAGGCTTCCACACTAGCACAGATCCCAATGTGGGGCTTGAGCTCCCAAAATTGTGACATCATGAACTGAGCCGAAACCAAGAGTTGGATGCCTAACTGACTGAGCCATTCAGGTGTCCCACCATTGGAATACATTTTAAATGGTGGTATAGGGTTTGCAGTTAACTTTGTGGCTATTGCATAAGAGTTATTCCTTGTATGAAGCAAAGTTATTTTTATTTTATTTTTATTTTTTTATTTTTTTAATTTTTTTTTTTCAACGTTTATTTATTTTTGGGACAGAGAGAGACAGAGCATGAACGGGGGAGGGGCAGAGAGAGAGGGAGACACAGAATCGGAAACAGGCTCCAGGCTCTGAGCCGTCAGCCCAGAGCCTGACGCGGGGCTTGAACTCCCGGACCGCGAGATTGTGACCTGGCTGAAGTCGGATGCTTAACCGACTGCGCCACCCAGGCGCCCCGCAAAGTTATTTTTAGAGGTCAGCCCTACAGTTTGGTTTCTTGAGTACCATGCTAATGTAATAAATTGAACCAACTAGCCAAGTGGAGGGTTTTACAATTGACTATGAAGATAGAAAGTGTTTGGAGTGAAATGAAAACTGCCACTTCAAATTTATTTCTTCCTTTCTTCCTTTCCTTCCATTCTTTCCCTTCTTCTTATTTCTTCTTTTCCTTTCTTTTCTTTTCTTTTTTCTTTTCTCTTCTCTTTTCTTTTCTTTTCTTCCTTCCTTTTTTTGAAATTTCTTTATAATCAGGGCATCTGGGTGGCTCAGACAGTTAAGTGTCTGACTTCAGCTCAGGTCATGATCTCGCAGTCTGTGAATTTGAGCCCCGCGTCAGGCTCTGTGCTGACACCTCAGAGCCTGGAGCCTGCTTTGATTCTGTGTCTCCTTCTCTCTGCCCCTCCCTCACTTGCGCTCTGTCTCTCTGTCTCTCTCTCTCAAAATTAAATAAACATAAAAAAAAACCATGAAATTTCTTTATAGTCTACGTTGTTAAAGATTTTAGTAGGTTAAAATTAATGCACAGATTTCATTTTGGGAGCTGACCATAATGTTTGCATTAACCCATATGTATTACCTCTTCAGGTATTTTCTGTTTCTTATGTATTTGGGTAAATCTCATCTTGATAATACCATTTTAGTGGGGAAGAAACATTAAAGTGTTTGCTCAAAAATGTGTTTTTTACATTTAATACTGCATTTTATTTATATGCTTTTTTTTTTTTTTTTTAACCTCCTGAAAGCACAGGTTATCAGGATTGAGTTACATAGAAGAGTCTTTTTGGACCTGCTTTCTAAGTGGTGATGAAGTCCCTCAATAGTTTATTAGATAATTTTTTCTTTTTTACGTTTGTATAGCCACCAACGATAGTATGCAGCATCTGCAAAAAAGATGGCCATTCAAAAAATGATTGTCCAGAGGATTTCAGGAAAATTGATCTAAAACCTCTACCACCAATGACAAATCGATTTCGGGAAATACTTGATTTAGTATGTAAAAGATGTTTTGGTAAGTCTTTTATTATTAGAGCTATTGTGAATAGATTCTTTGTTAGATTTTGAATATTTATTTTCTTATTTAAAAACAGTTTGCTTACGTTTTGTTTTGGTACAGGTTATTTAATAGTTTAGACACCCAACAACAGATATTTATTAAATGCCTATTAAATGCACAGCACTGTGGTAAATGCCAAAGGGAATACAGAGTCCATTATGTGTTGCTTTTATTTATTTATTTTAATTTTTATTTAATTTATTTTTTTAACTTACATCCAAGTTAGCATACACTGCAGCAATGATTTCAGGAGTAGATTCCTTAATGCTCCTTACCCATTTAGCCCATCCCCCCTCCCACAACCCCTCCAGCAACCCTCTCTTCTCCATATTTAAGAGTCTCTTATGTTTTGTCCCCCTCCCTGTTTTTATATTATTTTTGCTTCCCTTCCCTTATATTCATCTGTTCTGTGTCTTAAAGTCCTCATGAGTGAAGTCATATGATACTTGTCTTTCTCTGACTAATATTGCTTAGCATAATATGCTCTAGTTCCATCCACATAGTTGCAAATGACAAGATTTCATTCTTTTTGATTGCTGAGTAATATTCTATTGTATATATATACCACATCTTCTTTATCCATTCACCCATCGATGGACATTTGCGCTCTTTCCATACTTTGGCTATTATTGATAGTGCTGCTATAAACGTTGGGGTGCATGTGCCCCTTTGAAACAGCATACCTGTATCCCTTGGATAAATACCTAGTAGTGCAATTGCTGGGTTATAGGGTAGTTCCATTTTTGATTTTTTGAGGAACCTCCATAATTGTTTCCACAGTGGCTGCACCAGTTTGCATTCCCACCAGCAGTGCAAAAGAGATCCTCTTTCTCTGCATCCTCGTCAACATCTGTTGTTGCCTGAGTTGTTAATGTTAGCCATTCTGACAGGTGTGAGGTGGTATCTTGTGGTTTTGATTTGTATTTCCCTGATGATGAGTGATGTTGAGCATTTTTTAATGTGTCAGGAGGCCATCTGGATGTCTTCTTTGGAGAAGTGTCATTCATGTCGTTTCTTCATTGGATTATTTGTTTTTGGGTGTTGAGTTTGATAAGTTGTTTATAGATTTTGGATACTAACCCTTTATCTGATATGTCGTTTGCAAATATCTCCTCCCATTCCATCGGTTGCCTTTTAGTTTTGCTGATTGTTTCCTTCGCTGTGCAGAAGCTTTTTATTTTGATGAGGTCCAAGTAGTTCATTTGTGCTTTTGTTTCCCTTGCCTCTGGAGAAGTGTTGAATAAGAAGTTGCTGCGGCCAAGGTCAAAGAGGTTTTTGCCTGCTTTCTTCTCGAGGATTTTGGTGGTTTCCTGTCTTATATTTAAGTCTTTCATCCATTTTGAATTTATTTTTGTGTATGATATAAGAAAGCAGTCCAGATTTATTTTTCTGCATGTCGCTGTCCAGTTTTTCCAGCACTACTTGCTGAAGAGACTGTCTTTATTCCATTGGATATTCTTTCCTGCTTTGTCAAAGATTAGTTGGCCATACATTTGTGGATCCATTTCTGGGTTCTCTGCTCCATTGATCTCAGTGTCTTTTCTTGTGCCAGTACCATACTGTCTTGATGATTATAGCTTTGTAATATAGCTTGAACTGTGGGATTGTGATACCTCCAGCTTTGGTTTTATTTTTCAAGATTACTTTGGCTATTCGGGGTCTTTCTATAGTTTTCAGTGTATAGATTTTTCACTTCTTTGGTTAGATTTATTCTTAGGTATTTTATGGTTTTTGTTGCAATTGTAAATGGGATCAATTCCTTGATTTCTCTTTCTTTTGCTTCATTGTTCATCTATAGGAATGCAACCGATTTCTGTGCATTGATTTTATATCCTGTGACTTTGCTGAATTCATGGATCCGTTCTAGCAGTTTTTTGGAGTCTTTTGGGTTTTCCATATGGAGTATCATGTCATCTGCGAAGAGTGAAAGTTTGACGTCCTCCTGGCCAATTTGGATGCCTTTTATTTCTTTGTGTTCTCTGATTGCTGAGGCTAAGCCTCCAATACTATGTTGAATAATGGTGGTAAGAGTGGACATCCCTGTCTTCTCCCTGACCTTAGGGGGGAAAGCTCTCAGTTTTTCCCCATTGAGGATGATATTAGCGTTGTGTCTTTCATATATGGCTTTTATGATCTCGAGGTATGATCCTTCTATCCCTATTTTCTTGAGGGTTTTTATCAAGAAAGGATGCTGTATTTTGTCACATGCTTTCTGTGCATCTGTTGAGAGGATCATGTGGTTCTTGTCCTTTCTTTTTATTGATGTGATGAATCACATTGATTGTTTTGCAGATATTGATCCAGCCCTGCATCCCAGGTATAAATCCCACATGGTCGTGGTGAATAATTTTTTTAACGTATTGTTGGATCCAGTTGGCTGCTATCTTGGTGAGGATTTTTGCGTCCATGTTCATTAGGGAAATTGGTCTATAGTTCTTCTTTTTAGTGGGGTCTTTGTCTGGTTTTGGAATTGAGGTAGTGCTGACTTCATAGAAAGAGTTTAGAAGTTTTCCTTCCATTTCTATTTTTTGGAACAGCTTTGAGGATAGGTGTTAAGTCTTCCTTAAATGTTTGATAGAATTTCCCTGGAAAGCCATTTGGCCCTGGACTCTTGTTTTTTGGGAGAGTTTCGATTACTAATTCGTTTTCTTTACTGGTTATGGGTCTGTTCAAATTTTCTATTTCTCCCTGTTTCAGTTTTGGTAGTTTATATATTTCTAGGAATTTGTCCATTTCTTCCAGATTGCGCATTTTATTGACATATAATTGCTTATAACATTCTCTTATTATTGTTTGTATTTCTGCTGTGTTGGTTGTGATCTCTCTTCTTTCTTTCTTGATTTTATTTATTTGGGTCCTTTCCTTTTTCTTTTTGATCAAACTGGCTAGGGGTTTGTCAATTTTGTTAATTCTTTCAAAGAACCAGCTTCTGGTATCATTGCTCTGTTCTACTGCTTTTTTGGTTTTGATAGCATTGATTTCTGCTCTAACCTTTATTATTTCCTGTCTTCTGCTGGTTTGGGGTTTTATATGCTGTTGTTTTTTCAGCTCTTTAAGGCATGAGGTTAGGTTGTGTATTTGAGATCTTTCTTCCTTCTTTAGGAAGGCCTGGATGGCTATATACTTCCCTCTTATGGCCACCTTTGCTGCATCCCAGAGGTTTTGGGCTGTGGTGTTATCATTTTCATTGGCTTCCATGTAGTTTTAAATTTCCTCTTTAACTTCTTGGTTAGCCCATTCATTCTTTAGTAGGCTGTTCTTTAGTCTCCAAGTATTTGCTACCTCCCCAATTTTTTCTTGTGGTTGATTTCGAGTTCCATAGCATTGTGGTCTGAAAATCACGGTATGATCTTAATCTTTTTGTACTTGTTGAGGGCTGATTTGTGTGCCAGTATGTGATGTATTCTAGAGAATGTTCCATGTGCACTGGAGAAGAATATATATTCTGCTGCTTTAGGCTGAAATGTTTTGAATGTATCTGTTAAGTCCATCTGGTCCAGTGTATCATTCAAAGCCATTGTTTCCTTGTTGATTTTCTGTTGAGATGATCTGTCCATTGCTGTAAGTAGCGTGTTGAAGTCCTCTAATATTATGGTATTATTATCAATGAGTTTCTTTATGTTTATGATTAATTGATTTATATATTTGGGTGCTTCACATTTGGAGCATAACTATTTACAATTGTTAGGTCTTCTTGGTGGATAGGCCTCTTAATTATGATATAATACCCTTCTTCATCTCTTGATACAGTCTTTATTTTAAAGTCCAGATTGTCTGATGTAAGTATGGCTACTCCGGCTTTCTTTTGTTGACCACTAACACGTTAGATGGTTCTCCATCCCCTTACTTTGAATCTGAAGGTGTCTTTAGGTCTAAAGTGGGTCTCTTGTAAACAGCATATAGATGGATCTTGTTTTCTTATCCATTCTGTTACCCTGTGTCTTTGTTTGGAGCATTTAGTCCATTGAGATTTAGAGTGAGTACTGAAAGATATGAGTTTATTGGCATTATGTTTCTTGTAATTATGTGTTGCTTTTAAAGAGCTTAGACTCTGGATCTGTGCTGTCTAATATGGTAGCCACTATTTAAATTGAAATTAATTAAAATTAAAAATTAAATTCCTCATTTTTAGTAGCCACAACCCGAGTAGTGAGTAGTTACATGTGGCTGGTGGCTGCTGAATTGGACAGGTCAGATAGGCAACATTTCCATCACTGCATTGCTCTTGCACAGTTCTGCTCTAGATGGAAGTATGATATGTATAAAAATTGCCATAATTTGAAGCAGAATGTATTACATGCTGTAGTAGTAGGAAACAAAATGCAGGGCAAACAGTATTTTAACTGGGGTAGAACACAGGGATTGGAATTAATGATGTGGCATTTGAGTTGGACCTTGAACTCTTTTTCAGATCTAGGAGATTATACACAAAAGTGTAGGGTGTATAATTTCTTTGGGAGAATAATTGCCTTAGGTTTGGTAGAGTATAAGAAAGATAATTGAGGGAGAAAAGGCTATAAAGATATTTTGGGAAATGCCTTACATAATTTTATTCAACAAACACTTATGGTGAACCTGGGATAAACCTTCACTCAACAAATATTTTTTTAAATTATTTGCTGTGCCCAGATAAGTTAAAATTTTTGATGTAATAACATTTAGTTCCCCGTTGTAATATCTCCCACTTATTTCCTATCCCACCCTCTTGCCAGGCAACCACTTACCTGCTTTTAATTGATATCCATTAGTTTGCATTCTCTAAAGTTCTATATAAATAGAATCACCTAGAATGTACTCTTTTTCTGAGTTGGGGTCCTGGCTTCTTTCATTTAGCATAATTATTTTGAGATTCATCCATGTTATGTGTGTAAATAGTTTATTCATTTTTATTGCTGAGTTGTGTTCCATTATATGGAAGAGCCACAATTTGTTTACCATCCACCTGTTGATACAAA